TTTCTTCAAAAAGTGACTCCTTGGGTATCCTGCAACAATAACTAGAAGCCAGTAACATTGAAGTTTTGTCGTTTTCTTAAATAAATGTCTCAAGTCCTCGATGTTCACAAAACCAATGGGATTTTGTCTCTGGGTCAGTTCCTTCTGGGGCTTTCTTAACTCTGGAGAAGGATGTCCTGCGCAAATTCCATACAGGTTTCGTAGATGCCAACCCCACGCCATCAAGACACTGGGAACTACAAATCCCATGATTCCCAAAGGGAAGTTGCAAGGACCTAAGGGCAGAGTTAAGCAGCTGTTTTTTCTGTTTATAAATAAAAACCAGCCACATCAGAGGGGTCTCAGGCACTCGGCTTGTGCTCTCAGCCAGGCAGGTTTGGTCTCAGTGGGTCATTTGGGATTCCAGGTTGGCGGAATGGATAGGACGCATTTAAGAATTTATCTCCCACTTTTCTCCCTGAGTTGTACATTTCCTCATTTCCTTTCCCTTGTAAATAAACCGTTTGTTAACCTTTTGTGTGTGCCTGCAGTGTAAGTCCCTTTTATGTGCACGGGTGAGGACCCACAGTCAGGCAACCTGTTTTATATCAGGGTTGCCCTGTAATACTTTCTCTTCCTTAATCATCACTTCCTAGGTGACCTTTTCATGCTCAAGACTGTAAATATCATTTACATCACATCACCTCCTAAATGTATTTCTTAACTTGACATTTCACCTGTGCCCCATATGGTTCTTCTGGGGTCTTCCCCATGTCACTGAGGCGCCACCTCTCTGCCTGCACAGTCTGAAATACTGAGTGTCATCCTTGACCCCTTTCTCACAGCCCAACTTAGGAAACACTGTAAAGTCCATGCCTAAATATGCACAGTCCTATCACTTCCTATTATTTCCCTGTCACTCCCCAACAAACCTACCAATCTCTCTGTCCTGGAACCTGCACTGGTTTCCTCCATTTCTCTTCCCACCTCTCACCCTTCCATGCTGCACAGCAGCCAGACTGAGGCTACCAGAGAGAAGTCCCACAGGTGTGTATCTGTTCAGAAGGTCTTGTCACCCCATATCTTACTCAGAGAGTCAAACCCTCCCAACATCCTCGAGGCCTGGATGATCCGGGTGCACACAGATCCCATCTCCATTGGCCTCTGCTCAGCCCTTGGCCTCCTTGCTCATGTCAGTCACACAGACACATTCCTGCTCGGGCATCTGCCCTGGAGGTTGTCCTGCCTGGACTGAACTTCCCTGCACATCACATCCTTGTGGGCAACGTGTCTATCAGACTTTTTCTCAAAGGTCACTTCAGTGAGACCCACACTGACCACGCTGGGAAGAAAGCCATTCTCCCTGTCCCCACACACTGACTCTGGGTCACCTTATAACACTTATAACACTCTGGGTCACACTTATAAACAGACATATCCCTTATTTACTGTCACAGTCTCCAGTCTCCCCTCCCCACCAGGACACACTCTCCACAGGCCACAAGTTGCGCATGGTTTTAGTTCATTGAAGCTTTCTAGATGCAAAAACAGCCTGTCACATATCTGGTGCCACAGTTATCAGTTGAGTGATCAGTGTAGAGCATCTCCCTGTTCTACAGAGTCTTTACTAACGTGGCACATTCATAGGTGTATATCTTTTGAAAAGAAGGTTCCTAGGTAGAATATTTTTAAAAGATTTCTTTTAGTGTAGAAGAACTGGGGTGTAGGCCAGAGGTGTGGGGAGGAGGGTGAGAGCCTTCACCAGAGACAGAGAGTGGGGAGCAGAGCAGGCAGATTTACTGAAATACACTGCTGAGGGGAGCAGCGGGAGAGAGGGGAGAGGTCTGCCATGCCATGTGGGTCACCTCCCTGGCTGGGGATCCAACTTGAGTTATAGAAGTGATAGCACTGAGACTTAACCCCTGGGCCACCAGTGTGGCCTGGGTTTCTAGGTTTATGGGTCTTATTTTTTCAGCTAACTATGAAGGTAACTGCTCCATCAACCCATGGGTTCTTTAAAAAAAAAAAAAAAAGATTTATTTATTTATACAAGAACTGGGGTACAGGCCAGATGCTTGGGAGGGTGAGAGAATTCACCAGAGACAGAGCGGGGAACACAACAGGCAGAGTGACAAAATACACTGCTGAGGGGAGCAGCGGGTGCAACAGGAGAGGTCTGCTGCACCATGTGGGACCCTCGCCGGCCAGCAGGTACAACCGGTGCTGCAAGGCTTCACAGCACAGCACTCAACTGCCTGAGCCACCAGGAGAGGCCCAACCCATGAGTTCTTGATTAGCACCAGCACTGGGGTTACTGCATTTAAGGGCCGGTTACAGGGAGATATCGTAGGGAAAAATAGAAATCCATCAAGAACTCTCTAAATTCATCAGGAAATTATCAAACCTTCTCTCTAGTAATACCAGAATTTTGTTCTTTAAAAAAGAGTTGGAAAAGATGGCAAGAATCATCCAGAAAACAGACCTAAAATGAAGCTAAAAATTACATGAGTTTGGAAATTCATCTCTCATCAGACTCCTGTGTGCAAGGGACACCCTGGGCCTTGTGGGGACAATGACAGATACTTCCTGCTGCTGTCAGAGACAGGGGCCAAGAGGACATGAGGCCTCGTCTCTAAACATGAAAAAGAATAGGTTCAAAGCAATAAAAACCAAAGAAGAAAAATATAAATCCACAGAAATTTGAGGGCAAAAGGCTAGACCCTTAGCTGAGCCTGGGCTGACCCGGCCACACAAGCACTCCCCGCCCAGACATGACCGCACAAGGCCAGGTGGGGTCTGAGTCCCTTTGATCACAGGCCCTGCTGGGACAGGTGCTACTGAGGGACAAGGAAAAAGTAGCAGAGAGATGATCCCTGAGAAAGGACCATATCAAAGTCCACGATGCACTGAGCACCAACTGGACACAGGTCCGTCCCCCTCAGCTTCTCACAGGCTCTCCCATCCCTACCTGCACAGACTCAGCACAGCAAACACGTGATTCTGGAGGTTTCCCAATTCATTTCTTTTCAAATTTTAGGAATCATTTTTATTAGCCCATTGAACCCATTGGGCAAGCTTACAAAAAGTAATTTCAGGTTATTATTTCAAGAGGGACATAGTTATTATTCTTGAGGAAAATACAAACACAGGGATAGACACAGCCTAGGCCACTTCTGCTGGAGCTGTCTCACTCTGTGAAATAATGTGAAATAAAACATGAAAAATTTCAGGTAATCACATAAGTGTTGCCATTCTCCATGGTCCACAGCATCCTCAGAATATCCCCCTCACAGCTTCCCCATCACCTGGTCCCATCCTCTCTGCCCCAGCCCCTCCCACTGCAGACCTCCAGGGTCTCACCGTTAGAGGCTGAGAGACACATCAGAGCCCTGGGCACTGTCACTGCCTGGGGGGACAACAAAACAGAACCTGGTCAGAGCCATGAGAGATGAGACCACAGGAGGGATTATGGGGGTGACTCCCCAGGGGCTCCATTTACACTGTCCCCAGGGGCTCAAGGATCAAACCCTTGATCCACACTTACCTTCAGCCTGAGTGCTGCTTCCTTCTTGTCTACTGCGGGAAAAACATCATGTGAGACCAGGGAGGAGTCAGCCCATGAAGTCCTGAAGAAATCCCCTAGTCCTGGGCCACAGGGAAGTTTCCTGAACTGTGACTGAAGATCCAGAGCAGGACTGGGAAATATGAAGAAAGATGAGGAGAGATTTGAGCAACCACCTCCTGAAGTCTGCCCTCAGCAGGGACCTTCCCCTCTGCCTTTTGCTGGAATCAGGGGCCCAAAACCAGAATTATCAAGGTGAACAATCTGATTCATTTTCAAAAATTCTTTACAAAAGAGGGTTAGCAATCAGCTCCAGACTAGGCAAGTCAAGTGTGCGGATGGTAATTCTTTTTCACCTGGTAGGTAAGTTCTACCTAGAGATTGAAAAGCCCCCAGTGGACAAGATTCCCCAATCCCTTCCCTACCTGAGCAATTCTTCATCCACATCACAACTTCAGCTCCAATCAGCACAGCTACAGTGAACACAGCTCCAAGGAAAACCAGGCCAGCATTGATGCCACCATGATGCCATGGTAGGGATGAAGGATTGAGGAGGAGGGGGCACTGGAAGTGAAGGGAAGGTGAGACCCTGAGCCCCAGGCCTCTATCTGACCCTCTGAAGGCCTCCAGAAGGGCTCCTGATACCCCTGAGAAGAGCCTCTATGCTTATGTCCCTCTCCTCACCCATCTCAGGACTCAGGACTCCAACATTCCTCATGCTGCAGATGGCAAGTGTATCCCTGCTCCTCTCCAGAAGGTACCACCCACTGCTGGAAAGTTCCATCCCCCTCAGGCCTGGTCTCCACCAGCCGTGTGTGCTGGGTTAGGTCCTCACCATCATGCTGCCAGGTCAGGATGTTCTCAGGGTAGAAGCCCAGGGTGCATCCCTTCAGGGTGACCTGGTGTTCAGAGATGGGAGGGGGGGTGGATCTCTAGGGGTTCTGAGGAGACAGGTCCGAACATTCACAATTTGGGTTTTTCACAATTTAGGGCTGGAGCTCAGACTATTAGGAGGCAGTTCTCTAAGGGGAGATCGCAGACTTTTGTTCTTGACCAGGGGACTCAGAAAATCAGGAGTCAGATCAGAAAAATGTCCTCAGACCCAAAACAAGACCTTGAGAGAGAAACCAGCGGTTCCCAACATCGCTGTTGGATCAAAAGGACCCTGTGAAAGGCTATTTTTCAGAGATGGTCTCCTCTTCAGCTCAGCAGAGCCGGGGTTCCTTAAGTGTTCCTGAGGGAAAGCAGGGCCCTCTGGGCAAGTCTCTCCAGGGAGAACAAGACACCCAGGGGTGCTCCTCCCTCTGGGACTAGAAACAGGCGCTGCTCTGACCAGCCTTCCATCCTCCCGCGGGTGCCCGCCTGAGGGAGGTTGGGAGACCTCGTGGCTCCTTTCCCGGGCGCTGAGGCTTCTCCCAGCACTGCAGGGGTCCGGGTGGCCCCGCCAGGTGCTTCCCCTTCAGGTAGTTCTTCCGCAGCTCCGGGGAGCAGCCGCCTTCCAGCGCCGGGAGATCTGAGCGGCCGTGTCCGCCGCGGTCCAGGAGCGCAGGTCCCGGTTCAGGGCCAGGTAATGGGCGCCGTCGTAGGCGGACTGACTGTACCCGCGGAGGAGGCGCCCGTCGGGCCCCATGTCGCAGCCAGACATCGTCTGGAGGATGTGAAGCCTGTCCCCGCCCCGTCACCCCGCGGTCACCCCGCCCGCCCCCGCCCCGTCACCCCGCGGTCTCCCCGCCCGCCCCCGCCGGGAATAAACCAAAACCGACGCGGGAACCTCGCGGGGAACGTCCCGGGGCTCGTCCCGGGTCGAGGGTCCGGCGGGTCCCCCTGCCTCGGGGGACGCTCGGGCCGGGGTCTGGGGTCCCGCCCGCCCGCGGGGTGGGGTCGTGAGCGCCCCGGGCCCGCCCCGCTCACCGGCCGCGCTCTGGTTGTAGTAGCCGCGCAGGGCGCGCAGGTTCTCTCGGAACGTCTGCGCGTTGGTCTTAGCTCTCCGCGTCTCCCCCTCCCAGTACCGCGGCGCCTCCCGCCCGGTGGAGTGGAATGGACAGAGAACTGCGCGGAGAGTGGCAGAGTGCGGCAGAGTATACCGACGACGAAAAGCGGAGAGCATCAAGGCACCAACAGGCCTGCTAGAACCGGTAATGGACCTACCCTGGATGGGTTGGTTGCGCCAACAGTGCTCCAAAAGCATGCATGGATGGCAGCTGCCCAGGTGCCTGTGCCTGCGAGTAGGATTGTGGGGAGACACACGGGAGCCTTCACTGAGGTGAATGACCCTCACTGAGTCATCAAAAAACAGGCGCCCTGGCGCTGGAGCAGGGTGCACTAGTTGCCATTTCTGCAGACACTGACTGAACTGGGCTAACGCCGAGTTCCAGGTCTGAGGGCTTCCGAACTGAGAACCAGGGCACGAAACTTGGGGCGTCGGATCCCCCTGACTGAGGGGCACAGGGTAGACATAGCACCCGGCGCTGTCGAGTTGCTCCACACCACCCCCACTCTGTTCCCCGCACCGGAAAAAAGCACAGCTCTGGAAGGATGCGAGGGAAGATCTCTGGCGCCACCTAGTGATCAGAAGAAAATCACCAACTCCCTGATATTTGGAAGCCAGGGTTTCCAAAACCACCCTCAGGCTCTGAGAGGGGGTGGGCCACCCGCAAATGGGGGTGAGAAGGGAAACAAGGCGTGGAGCAAGACCCCACTCTGGAATGAGAAGTGGGCACGGGAAACGGGGAATGGGGCGCGCCATAATAGTGGGCACCGCACAGGGTGACAGCCAGCGTTTTTGGATCTGAGAGGCCTGGAATTGAGAACTAGAGCACAGAATTCAGGGCATGGGATCCACACAGCTGCAGGCACAGCACAGGTGAACAGGAGGTTCCCTTTCTCAGAGAACCACTGGTGAAAAGCGCAGGTCAGCAAGTACAAGTCTCTGGCACCACCTAATGACAAGAACAAAATCGCCAAGTTGCTGATTCCCTGCTGGAACAGAGTAAATACAGAGGGAGGGAACTGTAAGGGACAATGCCCAGCAACACAGCCACAGCATCAACACCCTGGTGGAGTGTTTGGCCTAACAGTGCTAGACCCGGTCTCGTAAACAGTTTCTGACATCCTTGAAGGAGAACTCCACCAACACCAGTGGCTGAACTTCCCAACACATAGAACTAATTAATTAAGCAAACAGCAGGGAGAAGAAACAATACAAATAACCAAGCAAGCCTGCAGGGAAGGACACACCACAAAAAGAAAATCAGTCACCAGAAGTCTACAACAGTGACATGGAAGAACTCTTCTGTCTGTCAGATAAAGAATTAATAATCATCATGCTTAAAGAGCATAAAGAAAATAAAAAGGAAAAAATGATATGCGACAAATAATCAATGAACTGAAGAATGAAAATGAAACCTTAAGAAAGGAAATAAAAGAAACACAGGAGATTAAAAGATTACTGGAAGAGATAACTCTGGGAAGAGCATGAAAACAGAATCAATGAAATGGAAGAATGGATTAGTACTCTTGAAGATACAGAAATAAAAAGAACCAAAAGAGAAAAGGACAGAAGCAAAAAGGAAGAAGAATGAGAACACTCTGACAATTATCAGACTTTTTGAAGAGAGGAAATTAAGAGTTATAGGCATTTTAGAAGGCGAGGAGAGGGACAAAGGGATTGAGAAATTATTTAAGGAGATAATGGAAGAAAACTTCCCAAGCATGAAAAAGGAGATAAATATAGACATACAAGAAGTGAGAAGGACACCCAATTACCACAATGAAAAGAAAACCACAGCAAGATACATAATAAAAAAGCTTGTAAGAGTACAAGACAAGGAAAAAGTAATAAAAATGGCAAGGGGGAAAGAATATATAACTTATAAGGGAAAACCAATCAGGTTAACTTCGGCGCTCCTGAAGAAACACTACAGGCAAGAAGAGAATGGAGTGACATATTTAACAAACTTCAAGACAGCAAGCGCAGCCAAGAATACTTTACACAAAGTGCAGCCAAGAATACTTTACACAAAGCTCTCCTTACTCTATGAAATAAAAATAAGGACCTTCTCAGACAAACAGAAACTCCAGAAATTCATTACAACTAAACCCCACTCCAAAAAATTCTACAAGAAGGCCAAAAGCCAATATCAACAGAGGAATAAATAAGAGCAGAATAAAGCAAGGAATAAAATCACAAAAAAGACAAGCAAAATGGCAAACAGATGCCAACATATCAATATTAACTCTAAATGTAAATGGACTAAACTCATCAATAAAAAGACACAGAGTAGCAAGCTGGATTAAAAAACAAAATCCAACCTTTTGCTGTCTCCAGGAAACACATTTAACCACAAAAGATAGCCATAGACTGAAAGTAAAAGGTTGGAAAACAATCCTACAAGCAAATGGACCAAAGAAGAAGGCAGGAACAGCTATACTTATATCAGATGAAATAGACTTCAAACTAAAAAAGGTAACAAGTGACATAGATGGACACTACATTATGATCAAGGGGACAGTACATCAGGAAGACATAACACTCATCAACATATACTTGCCAAATGAAGGAGCACCAAAAGATATTAGACAATCAATATCAAATCTGAAAACAGACATTAAGGAAAATACATATAGAGTGGGAGACTGCAACACCCCACTATCATCAATGGACAGATCAACAAGACAAAAAATAAATAAAGACAGAGAGCCCTAAATAAAGACATACAAATCATGGGCCTAACAGACATCTATAGGACACTGCACCGAAAAAAATCCGAGTACACAATTTTCTCAAGCAGGCACGGAACATTCTCTAGAATCAATTATATACCGGGCCACGAGACAAACATCAACAGATACATGAAGATCAAAATCATTCCACCTATCTTCTCTGATCATAAAGGCATTGAACTAAAAATAAATCATGAAAATAAAACAATGAATACTCTAAAAATTCATGGAGATTGAAATCCACATTACTAGAAGTCCACTGGACTAATGAGGAGATCAAAGAAGAAATTAAAATAAACTTTGAGTTGAATGACAAGGAGGACACCACTTTCCAGAATGTATGGGATGTAGCAAAAGCAGTAATAAGAGGACAATATATAGCAATATAAGTGCATATCAAGAAATAAGAAAGAACTCAAAGAAACAACCTAATTTCATAGCTCAAAGAAATAGAAAAGAACAACAAAAATACCCGAAAACCAGTAGAAGAAAGGAAATCATAAAAATCAAAGCAGAAATAAATGAAATAGAAGTTAAAAAAAATCCAAAATGAATGAAAGCAAAAGTTGATTCTTTGAAAAAAATGAACAAAATAGGCAAACCTCTAGCCAGACTCACAAGGAAAAAAATGGGAGAAAACACACATAAATAGGATTATAAACAAAAGAGGAGAAATCACAACAGATTCCATTGAAATTAAAAGAATAATCAGAGATTGCTATGTACACTTATATGGAAACAAATTCAACAATCTAGAAGAGATGGAAAAATTCTGAGAATGATATAATCATCCAAAACTAGATAAAGAAGAAAGAGAACACCTAAACTGACCAATTACAAGCAGCGAAATTGAAATAATAATCAAAACACTCACCAAAACAAAAGCCCAGGCCCAGTTGGCTTCACAAATGAATTCCATCAAAAGCTCAGCAATGAATTAGTGCGTATCCTACAAAAACTCTTTCAAAATATTGAAAAAGAAGGAATATTACCAAATACATTCTATGAAACCAACACTACACTAATTCCAAAACCAAACAAAGACAACACAAAGAAAATTACAGGCCAATCTCCCAAATGAACACTGATGCAAAAATCCTCAACAAAATCCTTGCCAACAGAATCCAACAATGCATCAAAGGGATAATACACCATAATCAAGTGCAGTTTATCCTAGGGGCACAAGGATGGTTCCACATATAAAAATCGATCAGTGTAACCCAACACATCAACAAAAAGAAAAATAAAAACCATTATGATCATATCAATAGAGACTGAGAAAGCATTCAACAAAGTCCAACATCCATTTATGATGAAGGCCCTTGAAATTCATGGGATTCAAGGAACATATCTTTTTTTTTTTTTTAATAAATTTTATTGTTATATTCCCCATACAATTGCAGCCCCCCCATTCTGACCCCAATCCCTCCCCTCCCGCCCCCGCCCCCCTAAAAGTGTCTCTGGTTCATAGTTTTGGGTTGATTTTGATTTTCACTTTCTTATAGTTATTCATTTTCCTGGTCCCTTATTTAAGTTTTCTAGATTCCTGCTATGAGTGAGACCATCCGGTATTTTTCTTTTCTTTTTGGCTTATTTCGCTGAGCATGATCCCTTCCAGCGCCATCCATGTTGCTGCAAATTGCATGTGTTTATCTTTTTTGAATGCTGAGTAATATTCCATGGTATATATGTACCACATCTTGATCCAGTCATCTATTTTGGGCATTTGGGTTGTTTCCAAAGCTTAGCTATTGTAAACAGTGCTGCTATAAACATAGGGGTGCAGGTGCTCTTTGGAATTGATGTTTCTGTGTCCTTTGGGTAAATACCTAGGAGTGGAATTGCTGGATCATATGGAAGCTCTATGTTTAGTAGGTCCAGAAATCTCCACACAGCTTTCCACAGTGGTTGGACCAGTTTGCACTCCCACCAACAGTGCAGAAGAGTTCCTTTTTCTCCACACCCTCGCCAACATTTGTTGTTGCTAGTTTTTTTAATATGTGCCATTCTCACTGGTGTAAGATGGTATCTCGTGGTAGTTTTGATTTGCATTTCCCTGATGACAAGTGATGTTGAACATTTTTTCATATGCCTGTTGGCCATTTGCATTTCCTCTTCAGAGAAGTTTCTTTTTAGCTCTTCTGCCCATTTTTTGACTGGATTATTTTCTTTGTTGTTGTTGAGTCTCATCAGCTCTTTGCAGATTTTTGTGATCAGTCCTTTATCATTAGTGTTGGGTGCAAAAATGTTCTCCCAGTTGGTGGGGCTTCTCTTTGTTTTTGTTATTGTCTCTTTTGCTGTGCAAAAGCTCTTTAATTTGATGTAGTCCCAGCTGTTTATCTTTGCCTTCACTATCACTGCTTTGGGTGATGTGTCTGTAAAGATGTCTTTGATGTGCAAATCACGTAGTGTTTCGCCTATATTTCCTTCTATATATTTTATGGTTTCAGGTCTTATGTCTAGTTC